GGTGCCCTTGGAGGATAGCCATCCAGTGCGCGCTCATGTAGAAACACCACTTTGCAAACCTTTCATTAAGCCTTATAAAGAAGATGTCAGCTTGCTGCAGGCACATCTGGAGGCGGCAGGGAAGAGAGTTGTTCATTTTCAAACCTGTCAACCGAGCAGTTCCTCCGGTCAACATCCTGGGAGCAGGAGCCGAGAGGACCAGGCAGCACCACCAGGCAACGGCAGGAGCAGAGACCGGGGGACATGGCCTTCCCAGCCAGGCCTACCTGCCAGGCAGCTGGGTTGAGTGCTCACGGCAGAAGAGACGAATGAGTATGGATCCAGGGTAAGGCAGGCCTCTCCGGGAGAGCAGACACTGCCCCCTCCCAGCTTTCTGCACTCAGTAATTACTGGCTCTTGGCTGTGAATGTCAGAACTACTAAGGTCTCAGGTCACTAGAACAGACTTAGATTCCAAGTCTGGGAATATCAGTGGACAGTGGGGAGGAACTTTGACTTTTCTCCATTTAACTGTGCTTGCACACTTCCAGGTGGCTCCACTCTCCTCTCACTTCCCTCTTCCCTCCTCCTGCCTTCCCTGCTCCTCCCTGCCCTTCATTGCAGCAGCACTGCACACGCTCAGAGGCTGCAGCTGGCTGGGCCATCAGAGAGGCCATGTGATATGATGGAGGGTGTCCAGAATGAGCAGTCGGGAAATCTAAGCTTGTGTTTCTGCTGTACCTTTAACCAACCAAGTGATGACTAGTGTACCACTGAATTCTCTCAGTCTTAGTTTTCTGGTCTCATTGGAGATGGAATGGTGGTGAAAGATAGCAGACAGGAGGGAGGGCAGACTGAGAGATCACTGGGATGTAGTCAGGGGTAGTGACTCTGAGCGGTGCATAACTATGCAGCAGGACCTAGCAGGTAAGGGCCTGGGATGGGAACCCAAACAGCCCTCAACTTAATTCCAGCTTCACTGCTTCCAAGCGAGTTAACCTCTCTGAGCCTCAGCTTCCTTAGTTGTAAAACAGGAAAAAAAAAACAAGACCTACCTCATGGGATTGTTATGTCATATAAGCATGCAATAAATGATGATCATATTCATCTTCATCTTAGTCATGATGAATTTAGAGGTCAAGAGAGCCTGCTTGAATTTGAGTCTTGGTTTAGATGTAGTGAGTGATTTGGGTACCTATTTAACCTCTAAGAGTCACTTGTCTTATCTCACATTGGGATAGTAAGTTGTTGTTTGCTGCTGTCTAGGAGGCCTCTACTCAGTGATGACCCCATGCACAACAGAACGAAGCACTGCCTGGTCCTGCGCCATCCCCACGAGTGATTGTGGATTGGACCATTGTGACCCATAGGATTTTCATTGGCTGATTTTCAGAAGTAGATAGCCAGGCCTTTCTTCCTAGTCTGTCTTAGTGCAGAAACTCCACTGAAACCTGTTCGGCATCATAGCAACACAATCTTCCACTGACAGATGGGTGGTGGCTGCCCATGAGGTGCATTGGCTGGGAATTGAATCAGGTCTCCCACATGGAAGGTGACGCATGAGGTTCATTGGCTGGGAATCAAATTAGGCCTCCCACATGGAAGGTGGGGATTCTACCCCTGAATCACCAAGGCCTCATGGGATAATAATAATCACACATATATCAGAGTGGCTTTAGAGACTAAATGAGATAATCTACGTAAAGCTACATAACGTGCAGTTCTCACTAACTGTTCTCTCTCTAAGGGGAGCTATATTATTTTCCTGCATGTAGGTGGGACCTTCTTGCCTTCGTGGCTGTGTAGGAGTATTGGGGTCGGGGCAATAGGCAGTGTATAATGAGTCAGCAAGAGCAAAGGTATAGGAGGAACTGTTGTCTGTGTAGGAATGCAGGAATGCAATTCCTCCTCCCGCAGGCAGCCAGAGGCCCCTCCACCCCAGGTTACCCAACAGTGACCCGGCTGGTAAATGACTGACTAACCACAGAGTCAGGGACTTGCACAGAAAAGCCTTTCCCTTTCCCGGCCCTGCACTGGCAAGGCCCTCCTTCTCTCAGAAAAAGATGCTTCAAGCTCCTACCTCCTCTCACCCCCATCTCAGAACCTTTCTTACAGCTTCTGTGTGACAAGCCCTAGCTTGGGCTCCTGGGAAAAGGTACAGCTTCAGGCCCAGGGATATTTGTGCAGGGAGGAGGTGGAAGCAGTTTCAGGAGCTCGATTCAATACAGCAGCAATCTTGGTCAAACAGGTTCCTGCAACTTCAGGGAAGCTTCTTTGTTCTGTTGTTCCAGAGAGCCAGACAGGCCTCCCCACAACCCTGGAAGGGGGCAGCAGGGGTGGGGAGGAAGTCCCCTGGAGTCTGGCCAGCAGGCAACTGTGATGGCAATTTCATCTCTGTTCACACAACACTAGGGACTGATTCTGTTTGATTACAGCTTGTAAGCCTTAGGCAACTGCCTTCCTTTGCTATTTTTTCCCCCAGTCTAGGGCAGAGGGGTGACCAGAGTTGGTGGGAAGAAGTTGGAATTTCACTAGCATTTTTTGGACAAAGACTAGATATCCTTAAAGGATTTCTCCAACTCTGCAAGTCTATGATGAAGAATCTCGAATATCAATGGACATTCGAAAAAGTGAATTTAAAAAAATGGGAAAAAAGCTCTTAGATAATTGGAAGCACACATTTGGGTTTCATACAATGGAATATTATTCAACCATTAAAAGGACTGAAGTATTGACACATGCTACTACATGGATGAACCTTGAAAACATGCTAAGTGAAGGAAGCCAGACATGAAAGGCCACATATTATATGATTTCATTTATGTGAAATGTCTAGAATATGCAAATCCATAGACACAGAAAGTAGATTAATGGTTGTCAGGGGCAGTGGGAATGGGGCAAGACCACTAATGGTATGGGGATTCTTTTTGGGGTGATAAAATGCTCTGGAATTAGACAGTAGGGATGGCTGTACAACTTTATGAATATAGTAAAACCCACTGAATTGTATACTTTAAAGGGGTGACTTTTATGGTATCAAATTATATCTCAATAAAAAAATTATGTGAGGAAAAAATTTGGGTTTGAGTCTGTAAGGAACTATGGATGCTGCATAATACATTACCAAAAAAATAAAAATAAAAAGGCTGGTCTGATAGTAAAGAGTCTGGCTCAGTCTTGAGCCCATCAATCATCCAACATCTAATAATCTGGCCATCTAATCATCCAACAAGTATTTATTGAGTACCTGCTATATATTAAAGCACTGTGTGAGAACCAGGTACATAGTGACGAACAAGACATTTTGTCTCTATTGATGTCCACTAACTAACCGTGTCCTCTTGGCAGTTTGTTTAACTTTTCTGAGCCTCGATTTCCTCTAGTGGAGGTCATCTCTAGATTCCTCCCTCTCAGCTCGAGTGCCCCAGAGGATGAGGTCCTAGGTGAATACTCTATATAGTTTTGCAGTACTTGGAGCAGTGGTTCCCAAACCTGATGATGAATCAGAATTTGTCCCAGAGCTCTGTGAAATTACAAGCTCCCAGGATTCGCTCCTGAAGGGTCTGATTTAATCAGCCTGCAGTGGCTTTGGCGCTTGTAGGTCTGTGCACCGCCAGATTTTGGAACTAATGCCCCAGGAACCGCGTGGCCCAGAGCCTGGCTGCTAACCCATCCTAAATGAAGTACCATGCCTTCTCTGGTTCATTCTGGATTGTCCCAGGTCTCCCCACACACGTTAGCATCTCTGCTTACATTTTCTCCACAGGGACAATACACATTGGCTGCAAAACGTTTTCCACCTACAAAATTCATTTTTCCCGTGCTTCACTCCCCACTTTGTTAAAAAAGAGTGAAAGGAGAAAAAAAAGTTATCCAAGTTCCAGAAAGAGAACAAAATTACTCATCCATTTATAGAGTCATCTTGCACTTTAGAAATAAGCTGCTTTTTTTGGCTTCATTATTTTGAGGGATATTTTTCTATCCAGTTTCCTGAGCACTGACACTATTTTACAGATCAAAGGATTCTTGTTGTTAGCTGCTTTAGAGCTGGCCTGACTCATGGTGACCCCACGTGTGTCAGAGTAGAACGGTGCACCACAGGGTTTTCAATGGCTGATTTTTCAGAAGTAGATTGCCAGGCCTTTCTTTCCAGGTGCCTGAGTGGACTCAAACCACCAACCTTTCAGTTAGTAGCCTATCACTTAACCGTTTGTAGCACCCCGGGACTCCAGATCAAAGGGTAGGCTTTTCTTTTATTTTTTATTTTAAGATAAGGACTGTGGTTTATTTGGCAAAACCACAAAATTGGCAAATAAACTTTTAATGTGAAAAGAAGTTCACACACACACACACACACACAGGCACACACACACACACACCCTCCCCAGTGTTCAGTGCTTCTTCCTTGTTTGGGCAGCTAAGCAGAAGATTTTGAGATTCTGACATTTTGCTGGTGGCACAGTGGTTAAAGTGCTTGGCTGCTAACCAAGAGATCAGTAGTTCAAATTCACCAGCCACTCCAGGGGAGAAAGATGTGGCAATCTGCTTCCGTAAGGATTTACAGCCTTGGAAACCCTATGGGTCAGTTCTACTCTGTCCTATAGGGTCGCTATGAGCTGAATCGACTCATTGGCAGTGGGTTTGGTTTTGCGTTGGATATTTCCACTCTCCTCTTCCCTTAGAGCCCTGGTAGCATAGTAGTTAAGAGTTTGGCTGCTAGCCAAAAGGTTGGCAGTTCGAATCCACCAGCCGCTCCTTGGAATCCCTATGGGGCAGTTCTTCTCTGTCCTATACGGTCACTGTGAGTCAGGATCCACTCGAAGGCAACCGTTTGGGTTTGTTTTTGGTTCTTAGCCCAATTGAAAGCTGACAAGCTACCTAACAGGCGACCACCAGGGGGTGCCCAATATCCTGCGGTTGCATTGTGAATGGGAAGTGAGGGAAAAGAAAGAGTGAGGGATGACAAAGGTGAGAAGTCAGTTCTTGCTTAAGTTATAAAAGAGCAGATCAGGGATTTCCTACCTGGATCACTCTTCTCTGCAAAGGCCACAATGTGGATCCCATTCAAATCATCTTCCTGTGGAAGAAACGAATCAAAGTTTACACTCTTGGGTGGAGCACTTCAGAGGGACATGACCGAGAGGGTGGAATGGAAATAGGGAAGGGGGAGGTGTGGAAGGGGCAGCGGACACAGAGACACAATGAAACAGAGCTGATGTGGGCACACGCTTAGGAAGGGAATGCTGATAAGCATAACTAGGGGGTGGGGAGGCAGAGAGATGCATGGAGCTTTGATAAGGGATTTGGATAAATGGGTTTGCAAGACAGGAACAACTACACACAAGACATTAGCACTAAATGGATCTCACTCCTGTGCTCTGGAAGGTCCAGGAAAGCAGCAGTAGAAGACAAAATGTGGAAGAACATTGAGTGTGGCTTCTCAGGGGCTCTTAAGGGCAACAAGCACTCTGAATACAGCTCAGTGACTTCAGTTGTCCATTTCTGTTTCAAGAATTTGTTACCAACAAATATAACCAGGGATGTACCAGATTGTGGAACCTTCTGAATGCTGCTGACAGATCCTGAAACTATCCCCAAACAGGCAGCAGATAGGAATCTTTAAGGTAAGTTAGGATGTAAAGCCTGTTTTGTTCATACAGGAATCATATACAAGTATAGTGCGTCTTTGTTAAGACTTCATGAATACTTCTTATTGAATAAACAGAACCTATGGGGCATTATAGGACATTTGTTTTTCAGTGGTAGAATTCTCGCCTTCCATGCAGGAGACGAGGGTTTAATTTCCAGCCAAAGCACAACCACCACCCTTCTGTCATTGGAGGTTTGCAAGTTGCTATGATGCGTAATAGGTTTCAGTGGAGCTTCCGGACTAAGATGGACTAGGAGAAAAGGCCTGGTGATCTACTTCCGAAAATCAGTCAGTGAAAACCCTATGGATCACAACAGTCTGATCTCTAACCCATCGTGGTGATGGTGCAAAACTGGGCAGTGTTTTGTTCCATTGTACATGGGGTCAGCGTGAATCAGGGGCCGATTCTACAGCAGCCAACAACAACAATACGTAGTAAGTAGGGAACACCTTGTGACTGTGATCTCCAGGTTGTTTCCTTGGTGTCCTTTCTGCCACTGGACCTAAAGCTTGCCAAAGTATGGGCCTCGGAAGCATTTCTGTGAGTGTGGGAGCTCCTGAAAGAGCCTAAAATTTGGGCCCAGAGAAGGTTGAGGGTGTGTGACAGGGAAAAGTGGGTACAGCTGTGGGTTCTGGGGGGAGGGGATGGCAAGGCAAAGAAGCTAGAGAGAGTGTTTCAAACCGATGGGGCAAGCCTGGGGCATTTCATGTTCCTACTTTCTGGACAGAGAGACTCATATGCTTTGTGTTTCCTTTGCATTGATTATTTTTGGAGAAGGAGGCGAAAAAGCTTGGAGGGGCTTCTGTCATAAGAAATGCGATCCCCAGGAGACTTGGGAAGCAAGATGTATGAGAAAGAAGCATCGGGGACAAAGCTGAGTGAACACTGATTATGCTTGACCTGGGGAAAGGGATTCATTGGGCACCCTGAATGTCCTATCAGAATCATCCTAGGGAAAAAACTCCAGGCATCTCAACCCTCCCATGATCCCCGTTTTCATTTCAATGGATTTTAATGCTGGTGCAGTCCTATCTAAATGCTAATTTTGTTTTTTCCCTTTGAGTTTGGAAAGGACTAAACCTCCCAAAATTCAAAGAGAGATTAAATAGAAAATATTATTATTGAAAATAAGAGACTAGGCACTGTCTTTGTCAGATTCTCTGGGAAATTGATTTTTACGTGTGTGTGTGTGTGTGTGTGTGTGTGTGTGTGTGTGTGCGTGTGCTGGTTTATTACACAAATCAGACAGCAAACAGAAGGGGAGTCTGAGGTTTCACCATTTTACGTTTGCTATTATCGCCAGACAGAATCTCCTGATCAGTTCTCATTAGGCAGCCCCGCGTCTGTCTCCTGCCATCAGTGGAAAGTGAGCTGTGCTAACTCTGTGAAGCAGGCTTCATTTCTGTGTGCCCTTCCAGAACGCATCTGGAAATTGGTTTCAGAATAAAGAATCCATATTTGTTTTCTAAGAGGCTGTCACTCCCCGGGCCTGAGATAGCCCCAGCATGGAGAGAGAGGTGTAACCAAAGGGAAGAGGCTCTCGCTTTGTGTGTCTGGAAGATTCGGCACACCAACATTTACTGGACACCTGCTAAGAAACAGGCACTTGCTAGGCGCCAGGTATTTTCATGTAATAAACTCAAGCAGCAAGAATCCATGGGCAAGCCTGTGAGTCGAGGTTACACAGTGAGAATGCACGGTGCAGGGGTAAGAGCACAGCTGATGGCCATGACACTGAGCACAGCCCACGGGGAGCTCTCTGAACCCCATGATCTTTGCAGAGCAGATCACCCATTTGGTCTTTACAACATATTGCCTCGGAAATTACCATTATAAATTGCATGATTCTTGCCATCTCAACTAGATGGTAAGCTCTCTGAGGGAAGGGATTAGGCCTTAAAATTACAATGATGATTATAAGTGCCATTCGTAGAATAAGTACTTCGTAAGTACATTATCTCTAAATCTGAAATGAAAGTCTTTTTTCTATTTAATGCTGAAAGAATTGAAGGGACTTACCTAAGGCCACAGAGCTAGTAAGGGACATACAAGTAACTGGGAGTCAAGCCAGTTCTGTCTGGCCCCTAAGCCCACGTTCTTTTTTTCCCACCAACAGCAGCACGCTGCGCCCCATGCACAATTGTCACTCTGCAGGGTTTGCAGAACATGTGGTACACCCAGGTCAGTGGCTCTTACTTAAGCTGAAAGAGGCTGAGAATGGGCCTGTATGTAAAGTGACCAAGCATCAAGCCCCACAAAGAACTGGTGATTTGAGAGTTACTTTCTTGAGTATCTTCTGGACTCCCCAGCACTTTGTACTACTCTCTGTCATAGCGATGAGCATACTAGACTGGTGATGTATGTTTTGAGACTGTTTCATTTACGCAACCCCAAACTTCTAAGAAAGGACAGCAACATTCTTTTTCATAACCTCAGTGCGTAGCACAGTGTAATAGGCTCTTATTAATGCTTATTGACTTAAAAAAAATACGATGATAAAAATCTTACATACTCACTGAAGAAAATTAGAAATACTAGAAATACCAAGAAGAAACTAAACATCTCAATTACCCAGATAAAACAGCTCTTTAATGTTTTGCTCTGTGTCCTTCCAGTCTCTGTTGTATGTTTGCTACTGAAGGAAGAGATACAAAGGAAAGGGATGTGGTTACAACTAGCAGGCTCCCTGATTAGGGTGCAATAAATGGAGTGACCCTGGGACTCATCTGGGTGTCTCTGGCCGGTTCTAGGAAGTACTTCGCTGTTGTAACAGAGGGAGGGTTCTTTTAGAGGAATTGTTGACTCCCACTCTCTGTGGGATTTGCCCAAGACCCTGGCTGACTGCTTGCTGGGACGGAGGGTGGTTTGGAGGGTGGAGCCTCAGTGGGAATGAAAGGTCAGCACTAGGTCTGGATTGCCTACGCTACCTTTACATTCTTCGAATAGTCTAGGAAAAAAATTAAAAGCTACTCAATTTTCACATAGCAAATATGACTAGGCATTGCTTTCTCTACTAGTAATAAATAATGTATTTTCTATGGTTTGGTGCTTTAAAAAACTGCACAACTGGGCAGGAAAAGGGTAAGTAGTTCTTTCAACCCTAGCTTCCTTTCCTATCTTATTTAAATATTTTGCAACGTCTGGGAAGTGGATGTTGAAGATAAAGATTTGTAAGTGCATTAGCTAATTACTTTCCTGACATCTGTGCTCTAAGTTGCTGTGGCCTATGGAGATTCTGCTCTGAGGAGCAATGCCCTCCTCAGTGGGCCGGGCAATGGGGAGGAGGTTGGGGAGTGGCTCCCAGAGGTCCCTCTGATAGATTGATTTCTGTTTCTTCTTTTTAAGGATGTGAAGATGACCCAGAGGCGCTGTCCTGCCTTCCCTCTCATGGTGGAGACTTGGATGAGGGAGCTCACCAGGCCTGGTTAGGGCTTCTGAGGAGTCATGTGGTTATTCCAGAATGGGGTGTTGGGAAAGTGTAAACCATTCCAGTTGCCCTTTTCTATACCTGGTTAAATTCAATACAAGACCCTTCCCCAATTAGAAAAAAAATTGAATATATGATAATGTGGAAAATATGAGCCCTCACTGTTATTTTATATTATAGCAAAAGCTGTAACTTGTTCATTAAGTGAAAAGAAACCAGAGAATGAGTTCCAATGAGGCCAGACATCTGTTTTCAATGCAATTGACCGTGCTCCCTCTGAGATGACCTGAGAGAGCATTTCTGCAGCACAAAGGGGTGCTGAGGATGTCCTGGGGGAGGTGAGGGAGGCTGGATGTAAGCTTTGCAGCTATCGAATCTGTTGTGTCAGTGAGGAAAGCCCTGGGTGAGTGTGTCTACTGTTCTATATTCTCTCCCTTCCAGCCATCCAGGTGATGGAGGGTTGTCTCTTAGGGAGAAAAAAAAAACAAAAAAGAACTAAGCATAAAGGCTTAGCAGAGCAAAACAGCAATAATCACTTTCAATTTAAAATGTTGTAAAAGAAAAGTGTCATGAAAGACCAAGAACTTGTTCCAGATTAAAGGAGACTAAAGAAGCATAACAATGAAATGCAATGTAAGATCCTGGATTGGATCCAGGGCCAGGTAAAAAAGGTTTTTCTCTTGCTTTAAAGGACATTAGTAGGACAACTAGCAAATGTGAATTAGGTTTATAGATTAGGTAATAGAATTGTTGTCAGTGTTAATTTCCTGATTTTGATACTAGTACTGTGGTTATGTAAGAGAAAGTCCTTCTTTTTAGGAAACACACTGAAGTATTTTGGGAGAAAGGAGAATTATATCTGCTACTTAGTCTCAAACAGTTGAGAAATAAAAATATGTAGAGAGGGAGAGAGCATGATAAAGCAAAGGTGGTACAATGGTAACATTTGGGGCATCTAGGTAAAGATATAATGGAATTCTTTGTACAATTTTTCTAAGTCTGAAATTATTTCAAAGTAAAAAGGAATATTCTTTTTAAAGCACTGTTATAACAATTTATTGTCATTATTATTTAAAATCTAAGACGAGATCTTTTAAAGGTTAATTTTTTGAATGGTTTAAATGTTAAGGAAATATGTTTCTATTGTGCTGGGTTGTTCTTAAATAGTCCACTCCTCTAGACTGGATTATTTGCTCTTCGTGCCTTGTGAAATGTTTGTTCTACCTTCACACATCCAACTAAGTTACACACCAGTAAAACAGTGTCAAGTTACGGCATGGCTCTGTGCACCTTCACTTCAGACTCTGAATTAAAGAATTAACGAATGAATAAATGCTTCTCTGTCAATCCTTTTCCTTCCTTCCCCCAAATGGTGCCTTGTGGGGACATGGCCTACTCTAGGCAGGCTTATGGTAAAGAACATAAGATTTGGCGCCAGGTGACCTGAATTTAAGTCCCAAGAAGAATAACAGAATCCATATGACAGTCAGTTTCCTCATCTGTAAAATGGAGCTAAAATAATATTTGTTCTAGGTCACTTGCTAGAGAATTGAAAGGTCCAAGTAGAAAGATCTATGAAATACTTTGAAAAATGCTCCACAGACTTTGATTGTTATTGATTATGGGATTTTGTATAAAGCCTGTGTACGTGTGTGTGTGTGGGGGGAGTGTAGTTATTTCTAAGGCCCTCTTTCTAATAGTAATTGACCCAACTGACATACGGTTCTGCGACATAGACCTAGAGGACAAGTAATGTAGCTGCCTTCCAACACCTTGAGCTGATATTTTTAAAAACAGCCACCATTCACTGAGCACCTTCCATGTCCTGGGCTCTTTACAAAAGCACCAATTTCAGATGGGGAAACTAAAGCTCAGAAAGACCATGTGACTTGATATAGGACACAAAGCTAACAAGGTGGCAGATTTCAGATTTGAGCCCAAGTCTCCATAGCCTGAGCCATGTGACCCTGGGTCTCTGGTGGCCAGTGAACAGAAGCCAGTAGTCACTTTGGGAAATGAACTCAGAGATGGAATAATTTTGCTTATAGATAATACCAAAGAGACTTAAGTTGGATCCATGGATAATTGGGTTTTAATTGAATGTGATGTTGTCCGTGTTTCAATCACCACACCATCCAGACATTTATCCCAGCAGAATAAGACTTAGTTTAAATTTAAGGACTTAGTCAAAAGGGCACCCTTCTTGGGGACTATATTCATCTCCACAAGGCAGAAAGGGTTTACCAACTTCTTACCCAAGTTTCAAACATATCTTCTGGGCGCAGGCGCCGTAGTGTAGGTCTGAAAAAAAAAGGGAGGGGTTTCTTTAGCAGGCATCACAGGGCAGACATTGCAACCCCAGTGCAGTGATATGGAAAATGAGAGGCTGGTTCGTTTGCAGGAACATGAATTGCTCTGGAACCTACTTCTCCCCCAAGAAGATGGAGCTACTCTACCCTATTCATCACATGGACACCCGGGCCTACAACCACTCCAGCTTTTGCGCTTCCTTTTTCTCAGCGTTTTCATGGACCTATTTGATCCAACGATTATAAAGTCTATGTAAATAATGGGCTGGAGGGCATAGGATTAGCTCATTCCCAGGGCAAGAAGCCATTTCCCTTCTCACAGACAAGTATCCCTCCCAAGACTCCAGAGTAGGCCCAGAGTGAGGAGACCTGAGACAGAAAACAGGAAGCCTTGGTGATCCCAGCCCGGAACTGCAGGAATTTATCATCTGGGTCATCCATCAAAAGCCCTTTAGGGATGTTTAGGGGAGCAGATAGGATGTATATTTTCCTCATAGTTTCATTTTGTTCTGAATGTTGGTTAATGGTGCCAGACATTCAGAGGACTAAAACCCATAATTTGAAGAAGAGTTGACATTTGTTTCCCCAAGTGCTGCCTCCTTGCAGAGGCTAGGACTGTGGTGGTGACCGGATCATGTGCTCCAAGCTCAACGAACTTAAGTGTGCATGTGTGTGGGAGGGTGGATGGGTGAGGCAGTGACTGTACTACCATGTTTTATGTTCCAGTATAATCCCTCTAGAGCAGGGATTGGCAAACTACAGTTCATGGGCCAGATCTGGCCAGTATCTCCTGTTTCGGTAAAAAAGTTTTATTGGGAGACAGCCACATCCATTTGTTTACAAACTATCTATGGCTGCTTCCATTCTACAACAGTAGAGCTGAGTAGTTGCAACAGGAACCATCTGACCCACAAAGCATGAAATATTCACTATCTGGTCCTTTGCAGAAAAAAGTTTGCTGATCATATCACTCTGGGTGGTGTCAAATATTCCTTCCTCTCCCAGAAGTTCTATGTATAGAATGTTTATCCTTGGATAAATGACTTAACTTCTCTGAAACCAATTCCTTCATCTGTAAAATTGGGATAATAATAATTATCCACGTAAAATTGAAGATTAGATAAAATACCTTCCGTAAAGCACTTAACATGGTACTTGGCATATAGGAGAATGTCACTAAATGGTTGTCATTATTATTGGCTCTGGCTTTGAGGGGATTTGCTGACTGGGGTGAAGTGTTCTAACAATAGCTGCAAGCATAAGCCCATATTCAGAAAATTGTGGCAACATTCATGGTCAGTTTATCAATGACCAAGAAAGCAATACCATTGAGTTCAGTTCTGCTGGGATACTAACTCTAGACTGCTGCGCTTGGTGGATCTGCAATGTTAGGACTGAGAGGCTCTCATCCATTCCCCGGACACTGGACCACCCTACCCCCTGCATGTCATCTCAGGCACCTTTGATGTTCCTTCACAAATTCCACGAGTTCCTCTTCTGTATAAGGTTTGTCAGGGATGGCTACGGGCTCATCCATGAATGGCTCGTAGAAATCAACCTCATTCATCTTCAAAGATAGTTTCTTTGCAACCTATAATAATTAGAAATAAGACAATAGTTTCCTTGAATGGTAGTCTAGAGTAGCAATGGGTTATCCATCTCAGACAAGTGTGTGTGTTTTCTGGCAAAGCCATGAGAATGCATGGACAGTTTTAACTTTAATGTTGAGGTGATAGAAACTCATCACCTAAAGCTGGGCTGGATTGATCTTTTGTGATCCAAGAAGGACAGAAGAGAGAAAAAGACCTATCTGGCAAATGAGGGCCAAGTAGGGGCAGGGAGCAGTTGAAATGGAAACAGTTGAAATTCTATCATCACCATTATTCCATTGTATTTGGCAGGGCTGAAGGAGGAAGCAAATGTCAACGGAGCTGGGATGTGTGGATTTGAACCAATTTTGACAGAACAGGTACTCAAAATCAGAAACTATTAATCTATCCTCAATCAGCTCATAAACCCTGCTCATTATTTAGGTTGAAGCACTGGCCCTAGGGTTAAACATTCCAGGGCCAGGCTTCTTGGTGGTTTGTCAGGTGCTGGGAACTGCCCAGTTTGTAGCTGAACACAACTCCAGCTACTAGTCATAAGGTGACCAACAGCCCCAGTTTGCCCAGAACCGAGGGGTTTCCTGGGACACAGGACTTTGAGTGTTAAAACCAGGCAAGTCCCAGGCAAACCAGGATGAGTTGGTCACCCTACCCCAGACAAAAGGTTTGGGGAACAAGCCATAGTTGGAAGACATTCCTCTCTTGAATAAAGTGGACACACAGTCTGTTGTCAGCCCAGAGTTGTTGCTGTTTGCCTGCAGGGCCGCTGAACTTGGGACCTCTCTTTGCAAAATGATGTGAGAGGCCTGGAATGTGCAAAGCTCTATAGAAAACCAAATGCCATTCTTTTCTAGTTCGGATCTGTGGTCCAAGAAAGCACAGGCATGAACAGTGGTTCCCTTGAAACTAAAGAGAGATTGCCTAAGCGCTGACGCTTTGTGGTGGTAACCAAGGATGCAGTAGCCCAGGGCTGCTGTGACTAATTGGGAAGGGGAGGAGCTGGGTGTTACACAAGCAGTTACACAAGTAGGTCCATCTTAAGGAAACTGGTGTTTATGTGAATTTGTCATCAATTGTTTTAAATTCAAAATCACTATCTTATAAAAAAGGGGCCCTGGTGGTGCAGTGGTTAAGCACTGGGCTGCTAACCTAAAGGTTGGCGGTTTGAACCCACCAGCCACTCTGTGTGAGAATGATGTGGCTATCTGCTTCCATAAAGATTTACAGCCTTGGAAAATTTTATTCTTTTCTATAGGGTCACTGTGAGTTGGAATCAACTTTATGGTAACAAGTGTTTTTTTTTTAATCTTCCAAAGGTTATTTGTTACAGTACTTTAAGGGAAAGAAACTCCAGCATCACAACTCACAGCTAAAGAAAAGAGGCCAGGTTAAGAGCTATAGTCAGGCAAAAGAGATTTGATCATCATATTGATTATGTTTTGAGAGACAGGAAGGTATAATTTTTTTCCCTTACATTTTTCCCATTTCTACCGGTCGGGGGGGATAATAGGTGCTGGAGTGGGGAGCAGGGAGGTGGGAAACAACAAACCTACCACCAGGGTCTGAGTTTATACACAGTTCTTTACAAAATGGGCCTATTACAGAATGGGCTTCAAAAATGACATTGGATTCTAGTGTTTTGAGTTCACTTACTACATGCTCTAGGAACTACGAATCTTGTATGAAGTGGGGATGAGGGTGACTGGATGACCAAAAACAGTCATAACAAGACATAGAGTGCTTATTAGGTGCCAGGCACTGTTGCAAAGTGTTTTAGGTTTACTACTTTATTTAGTACTCATTTTTATTACATAGGAGCCCTGTGGCGCAGTGGCTAAAAGCTCTGCTGCTAACCAAAAGGTTGGCAGTTCGAGTCTACCAGCTGCTGCTTGGAAATCCTATGGGGCAGTTCTACTCTGTCCTATAGGGCCACTATGAGTCAGAATCAACTCAAGGGCAATGGGTTTGGTTTTTGGTTTTGGCTCACTGCATAAGACAGGAAGTATTATTATGCTTACTTTACAAATGATGAACCTAAGACACAATTTGGGTAATTTGTATATACCTTAAGGGGTAGAGCCAGAATTCAAACCGAGGCAGTGAAGTGTTCTAAACTAACAATTTGCCTGAATTCTAATTTTCCTATCATCAGATAATTACTTTCTCCTTGACACTAAAGAAAGGAATAGATGTCCCAATAAATATTATACTGGCATGCACCATGTGTTAGTGAGATGTGTCCTTGTATCTTGTAATGTGCTCTCATCAATTCATCCCCCATCACCGTTGGCTATAACTGAGGCTTCCTAAAGGTGAGAATGAGCTCATCAGACCCACATGTCAAGGTAAGCAGTGTGTATGGGATGGCGGGATGTCTGGGAGTGGGGGTAGTCTCTGGTCTCTGAACACCAGTGTCTGGGTCCACATTGTTAAATTCACCAATGTGAAGTTGCCTTTCATGTCTCTGAGTTTCAGTCTTGGGAACCCTGAGTTAACGTTTCCCAGAGGCGCTTCACAACACCCCACCACCATCACTCCGAGTGCCCTGCTCTTGTATCTCAGAGGATCCCTTTCTTTCATTCTTTTAATTGTGTCTTGGATGGTAGGCAACCGAAGTTAACGACTGAGGGAGATTTGATTGATTGAGGAATTTGTTCATTCATTTATTCCATAAGTATTTCCTGCGGCCCACTCTATCCAAGACGTTGTTCTACAGCAGACCTGGCTCGTCAGCATTATAATTATATTACAATTATGCAGGAATGGATTATACAATCGAAAGCTAAATAACCAGTTGCCATGGAGTCGACTGCAACTCACGGTGACCCCATGTGTTTCAGAGTAGAACTGCACTCCATAGAGTTTTCATGGCTGTGACCTTTTGGAAGCAGATGACCAGATTACCTTGTGTGTATCTGTGTGTGTGTGTGTGTGTGAGTCTCTGGGTGGTGTAAATGGTTAAATGCCACTAACCGAAAGGTTGGTGGTTCAAATCCACCCAGAGTTGCCTTGGAAGAAAGGCCTGGCAATCTGCTTCTGAAGAATCAGCCATTGAAGACCCTATGGGGCACAGTTTTACTCTGAAACACATTAGTTCGCCAGGAGTTGGAATCAACTCCATGGCAACTGATTTCTTGGTTTTTGTTGAGTGTTTGTGTGTGTGTGTGTGTGTGTGTGTGTGCATTTTACTAGTTGGGATAGATTCTGGCAAAGGCAAGAAAACTACAAAGGCCATCTTCTGACATTTGCATGTGTATGTATTTTGATAGAGTTGTTTTTTCTAAAAATCAGCGAACCATTTCAGTTGTTGCAAATGAAACCAACTCAAAGTGAATTTAGGAAGTCTTGACATCTATCTCCTCCATCAACTTTGTTTAGAAAGTCACGGCTCCCTTTGGCCCCAGTGTGGTTCAAAAGAGAAAATTATTTTGCTTCTCGCTGTTTATTCAGACAGAGAAAGTAATGGGCCAGTGGGAGGTGACATGGCATAATCAGAATGACCAAAAATCAAGGTGTAAGCTACTACAGAGAGGATGCCATCTTCGGCCCTCTGACCCTGTCTTGCTCCAACTGCTTCCTCACAGAGGTTGGGCCCTTGTGTGGGTTGATTTAGGATCAGGATCAGTAGATTGCTGCTGGTTCCAAACCTCTGTTCCCAGTAAAATCACCGAGGGAGCCTTTTGAAAATGCAGATTCCTGGGCCATATTACAACCCTAAAAACTCAAATTTCCAGGGATGGGGCCAAGGGATCTACGGTTTTAAAAGCTCCTTTTAGAAGTCAGTATCAAAACTGACTCCCAAATCTACATCAGCAACCCTGACATCTTACCCTCTTTACACTTGTCCAACTCATGTATTTATTGATTTGTTTACTTATTTACTCTAAATTCTACAAGAGCAGGAATCTGTTTTGCTCAGTGTTGTGTCATGGCACCTAGAAAAGTGCCCAGCACATAAAAGGCACTCAGTAGATATTTGCAAGTGAATGAATGAATAAACGAAGACACCTCCAGTGGTATGTCCTCCCAAGTTGCAAAAAACAGCACTCATCATTCTGCCTTAAGTAATGTTTTTAGTAGCTTTACAGTCTTTGCTGTCTTGAAGCTGAGGCTTACAACCTTAAGTTATTTTCAAGTCTCCTCGCTTCTTTCTCTCTTTCATCTCATCAATGGTCAGGTCCTCTCACCAGCTCATCCTCTGCCAGTTATTTTTTTCCCTCTTTCTGACTGTAGCTAGTGCTTCTTCGGTCCTTGCCTCACCAGGTTTGAAAGCTCTACAAAGCACTTCCCCTTTCCCAGGTGGCTCTAAGATTCCCTAGCGAGTGTCTCACAAATGCTCTTTGACCTTTCAGCCACTACATGACATCCATACCTTTTCCCTGCTCTTCTTCTCAAACACCTCTTGCCGGACACCACTGAGGCTTCTCCTGGATGCAGCCATACCTTCTGGACCCCACATCTCCCATTAAGCATTGTTGCCCCCCCCGCAATGGGTGCAAGTTATTAAATCCCAAATGTCACTGGAGTCCCTTCAGTGCAACAGCCCCTCCCTCTGTGTTCCATACAGAGGTAGAGAGAGTGTGTCTTTTCTTTTTGAATGTTATGAAATCCCACAAGGCTACATGAACAGCGGTGGCACTTATGACTCAGTGTCCTGCAGAGTTTTAAGTGAAGCAGCTTTTTGAATTTTTAATTACAGCCTGACCTCACCTTCTTCTAGGAGCCCTGGTGGCACAGTGGTTAAGAGCTTGGCTGCTAACCAAGAGGTTGGCAGTTCAAATCCATCAGCTGCTTATGGGGCAGTTCTGTTCTGTCCTATAGGGTGGATATGAGTCAGAATCAACTCCATGGTAATGGGTTTGCATTTTTTTTTTTTACCTTCTTCATGGGCTACAGACATGAAGCCATGTGGTTGGTTGGGAGGCACTTCTGAAAATAGACGCTACCCTGAATTCAGAACTGGACCATCCCGCTAAGAACTAAGGCTTTCCTGACTGACCAAGCTTGTCTGCCTGACCCTCTTCCCTTCAGACTAGTTCTTACCCAGGAGCCACCTTAGCCACTCCTGACCAGGGGCAAATCACCCAATAAATGATTTATGCACAGGCTTATTTATGCTTACTTACTAATCTGTAGTGCACAATTTCACTTGTCTTTCATCACATTAGAGATGTGGTGAAACCCATGTGAAATTGTGCACTACAGATTAGTAAGTAAACACAATTAAGCCTGTGTGTAACTTGCTTACTGTAAACTGGTGCGTACCTTGCTTACTGGTTAATCTGCCCCTGCTCCTGACCCACCATGACTAAACTTCAGTGATGGATTCAGTTTAGGCTTCTCCTTACCTCCCCTTCTCTACTGATAGCTTATACCAACCTCCTTCCTCCTGGGCCTAGAAGACTGCCTTCTTCTCCTTTTTTTTATTAAATTAAAAACAAAAACAGTTGCCATCGAGTTGATTCTGACTCATGGCAACCCTATGTATGTCAGGGTAGAAATGTGCTCCATAGGGTTTTCTCTCTCTCTCTCTTTTTTTTTTTGAACATTTTGTTGTGGTTTAGGTGACAGTTTACAGAGCAAATTAATTTCCCAATCAACAATTTATACACAGCTTGTTTCATGACATTGGTTGCAAACCCCTGAATGTGTCAGCATTCTCTCCCCTTCCTCCCTGGGTTCCCTGTGTCAATTTGTCCAGCTTTCGTTCCCCTACCTTCCTTCTGAACTTTGCTTTTGGGCATATACTGCCCTTTAGGTCTCGTATAGTTGATTGTTCTGGGGTGTACAACCCTCACTGATGTTATTGTTCCTTTTATTGTTCTATTTTATGACTATAATGTGATCTCCGGGAATGATTTCAGTTCCAAGTTTGAAGGGTATCTAACGCCATAGTCTCAGGGGTTCCACCAGTCTCTGTCAGACCAATAAGTCTGGTCTTGTTTATGAGTATGAATTTTGTTCTACATTTCTCTCCCACTCTGTCCATGATCTACTATTGTGGTCCTGGTCAGAGCAATCGGTTTGGTCTTTGGTTTTCTTCACTCTTCTTTGTTCCAGACAGGAAGAGACCAATTGTTGTATCTTAGATGGCCGCTAGCAGGCTTTTAAGACCCGAGTCACCACTCACCAAGGTAGGATGTAGAACATTATCTGTATGGATAATGATATGCCAAAGACTGCCTTCTTATTAACAATGTTAATAACTACTGAATATTTAACGGATGCTTACTATAGGCCAAACACCAGATGAGCATTTTACATATATTGTATCCTTTCTCTGGAGCATAGTAGCACAGAGCATTGACTTAGGAGTCAGACTGATCTGTGATTAAATCAAGCTTCATTACTCACTAACTAGGTGATCATGAAGCAAATAACTTAACCTCTCGGTGTCTCAGCTTCATTCTCTGTCAAATGAGAATACTAATCCCTTTCTTATAGGGGTGTTGAGAGGATTCAGTGAGAAAACCTATATAATGCTCTTAGCACAGAGTCTGGCATATAACATGTACTTAATAAATGAGAGTTATTATTATTCTTTTGGTATTCATGCTCAAGATCACTCCCAACTCTAATACAACCAATTAGAGTAAATTTCCTCCAGCATTACTTGCATTATAGATCTCCCCTCTGGGTTATAGGCTTGAAGACAGGGGCCGTATCCATAGAAGAGGTTCAATGTATATATGAATTAAACATGAACTCTTTTCATCATGCCCCTTCCCTGCTCCAGTACCTAGAGGCTTCCTCTTGTTTTTCAGGGAAGTCCTGAACTCTTCTTAGTATAAAGGCCCTTGAACACCGCCTGTCGCTGTCTTACTCCTTAGTAGGCCACTCTCTGATTAACCTTTACTTGACTTTGATCAAAGACTTAGTTTGTCCTAGATTTATTTGTTCTAGCAAATCTGGTGATTTCAGTTGGGGTGTGTGTGTGTGTGTGTGTGTGTGTGTGTGTGTGTATGTGTGTGTCTTGATCTCAGTGGCAGGTATAGGGTCTTCTATTTAATGGTGTAGTACAGAGTAAAGGACACAGGTTTTAGACCCAGATTGTCCTAAGTTAGGATTTCAGTTCTACCATTAATTCTCTGGAGACTTTGGATGCTACTTAACCTCTCTAAATCTCATTTCTCATCTGAGAAGAGGGGATAATGATTCCCTTTCAGAGTTGTTTAAAGAATTAGAAAATAATATAGATGCAATATACAGAACCATGCCTAACACACAGAAAGCACTCAGTAAATAGTAACCATTTTAATAGTAACCAGAGCCAGAGTAGAATATTCTATCCATGGTAGCCTCAAATAAATTAACCATTGATTCAAGGTCCCTCTATCTCTGCTGTTCTTTAGTTTGTAAAAGCACTTGCCACATCCAGAATATAAAGAACAATTGAATTATAAGAGAGTATATCAATGACAACTGAAGATGTAAGTGACTTTCTGGAGCACTCAGTGCTTCAGGAGCTCAATACTTTTCCCCATTCCATTACCTGTCCTAACCCAGAGGTGGAAATACGCAAGCCCAGGAAGGGAGAGGGTGCTTCCTAAAGAACAAAGAAGCAGTGATTGAGTGACCAAGCACACTCTGGGCTTACATATTTTTCATTTATAGTGTATGTGAAGATAAGGGGCAGGCCAATACTTTTCACTGGGCACTTAAGGAAATAACTTCAGATTCTCTGAATTAACCATATTTGTACTCATCTCTTGTTCAATAGTGATTTATTGCCATATTTCTAATGCTTCTGGAGAAAGAAGCAAAGGAAGAAATGGTTAAAAGAAAAGGAAAATTGGAAAGTTCTCCAAAATTTATTCCTTTGTGCCTACAAAAGTGTTCAAATTGGACTTTCATAGGTACTTACTCCTTTGTCGAAGGTGGCAAAAAATTTAATGTAAGGCTGGAAGTGTTCAGCTGCCTCTTCAAAAGCCTTGTAATCTAACAGGGAATAGATGAAAGGGAGAAACATTTTTTGAAGATGCACAATCAAGAAATTTTTCTTTTTAAATGATGTAGAGAGTAGCAAGCCAATTAAACCCGAGCAATGTAGATAATTATTTAGTACAATTTAAGTCCAGAGTTGCCCCACCCTGCAAAGAATTTGAATCAACTGGCATTTAGTAACCCAACAGAAGATCTCTTTATCACACTTTTATGAAGTTCATAGATGGAAAGGAGAAAATGAAAAAATGGAAAGAGGATACAGGAGAGAAAAAGAAATGAAAAACTCCAAACCAAAAGGAAAAGTCTTTTCACTCAAACTCACTGCTGGTTATAATTGTGCCCTGTAGAGAGAGTGTAGCTTGCTGCATAAAGAAGCCCTAAGTAAGAAGAAAATCCACTTAATCAAAGATGACATCTATAAATATTTTACACCTCTTAGCATCAGTATCCCTTTTGGTGAATTCTAGTTTTCCTTTTCTCTTTTTTTTTTTTTAAATTCTAATCCTTTGAGAAAATGATTCAAAATTAATTAAGACTTAACTTGACGCTATTCCCAAACTTGAGTACAAATTGGCCAAGGTAAGCACAAGACCACGTGAGTATGACAATGTTGTGTGTTGGTAGACCTAGACAGGTACTTGGTAAAGAGATTCCTACTTAAACCTTTGATGTGAGGGTGATGGCAATGGTAATAGTGATGGGCAGAGGTGTGGAGATTTGTCTTTCTGAATAAATTATATAATCCCGAGAGTCAATAATCCTATGATTCATTCGTAACAAGATTATTTTTTTTCCATTTCATAGAATTCCTTTTCTCTTAATCATAATTGGGGCAAGCTTTTACAAGAATCCTGGAATTATGCATGATTTTCTAATATTCTATCAAAAAACAGAGCAAGAATAATGCTGACTCCAGGGATACCAAGATGAGTAAGACAAGAACACTCATCTAAAAAGGCTCACAGCCTAGGGAAGGTTATGGACCCTTAAATAATCACATTGCTATGTGATAGTTGCTATAATAGAGGCAAGTGCAACAAGCACAGATGAGAGAGGGGCCGAAAAATTTACGAGAACACTCATACATACTAATACACACTCACACCAACTCATCCTCACGAAAGAAATTGGATGATCAGAAAAGATATCATATAGCCTGCTAGCTAGGGCAGAAGATTGGGTGGAGGAGGGTAAGATGGGTGCTTGGTTGGAGAATGAATAGAGAGCAGGTGGAGAGAGTAGAAAAAATAGAATGGCTAAAGAATACCTAAGCCATTCGTGTCTAAAGCATCAGTGGGCTCCATCTGAATCCCCTGTTCCTCTCTTCCCTGACCTCCATGTCCCTGATGAATCTCTCCTCACCACCACGAACTCTTACCCTGATGGAAACAATGATCTGAACTTGTGTCAGGGGCTTCCTTTCTTCTCTTGGGGAGCCAGTCTACATCTCTTTTAAGATGAAGAAGGGTGGAGCAAGGTGGTTCCCTAGGTTGGTGCTTCAAAACGTGATTGTACCTTTAGCTTCACTCAAACACAAGTGAAAGTAATATTTATATTTTGTCACTTTTGCATAATTTTAACATTGACTCAAATGAAATTTAACATTTAAATGCTTCCTCTATGCTTATTTTTTAAAATTTATCCAAGTCTTAAAATGCAGATAATATAAATTATTTAAAAAGTTAATTTCTGAAGTCAAAAATACTTATAATTTCCATAAGTATTTTCATTTAAATAGATTTCTTTTTTAAAGTTATTTTATTTTTCCACAATAATGGACTTGCTGGAAAGTCATCATAGTCACAAGTAAAATAGTCCAAAAACATCTGTGACTAATTAGGCACTCATTATGAGTACTCATTATAAGTATTATCGCAAATTAGGATTGCTGTGTCTTTCTTTTCCTTGGCCTAAATGTCTTGTTTGTGTGGAAACATCAAAATAAGAAATTGTGCCATGATGTAACCCATGCTGGCTCCTTAACACAAAATATTTATCTCAAGGAGAAAAAAGATTTAAATGTATTAAAGCCTGTTGTTGTTGCCGCTGTTAGTTGCTGAAGAGCCAATTGTAACTCATGGCTACCCCATGTATGAAGAATAGAACTACTCCATAGGGTTTTTAAGGCTGTGGCTTTTCAAAAGCAGATCACTAGGCCTGTTTTTCAAAGTGCCTCTGGGTGGATTTGAACCATCTACCCTTCGACTAGTAGTGGAGCACTTAACCATTTGTGCTACCCAGGGACTCTTGTATTAAAGCTTAAACAAGTGCAAAAAAAATTAAAGAAGGAAAAAAAAGATTTTTTTTTTTTTTAATGTGTTTGATTAGAAGAGAACCAGATCAGGCATAAGAAGCTGGTTACAACATAGGGCAACTAATCACTAACCAGCAAAGATGCCTCCCACAATTGCAGAATCACTTATTATACACACTTCCATGGAAATTGTCAACATAATGTTTGGGATAAAGGAAGCAAAGAAAAAAGAAAAGGGGTTATTTTGAATGATACTGTTTCCATAATGTTAGGTATCACAGAGATGGTGCTGACCCCAGAAGATGACCACGTCAAACCCATCTCCATTGCAGATTGGTGATTCTACTAATATTAGTAATGGGTGTGGTTGATAGCATTAGTGAAAGCACTGAAGAGAAACACATGGAATAACATCATTTGTCTTGCAAAGAAGAACCAGACCAAGTTGTTGGGGATAAAATATTCCAAGAAGTAGATGAGCATGTTGAAACAAATTATGGAAACACTGCTAAAACTTGTGTACTGACAGTGCGGCTGCAATGACAAGAGGGTGGGAAGACTTTACACTGAGTTTGTTCTGAGAATCCTGAGATGCAAGTAATATGTATTCACAGAAAAGCTCTGGTTTATAAAGGTTTTGTCTGTGGATCTAAATTCCACATAAAAGGTTATTATGAAAAAGGTGATTTTAGTAGCAGCTAAACCTCCATAGCCCTGTCTCTTTAGCTTTAGATGAAGAAAATAATTCAGAATATCAGTCTCTGCTGTATCACATTAAAGTGGGTTAACTGTCCAATGCTGAGCTTATTAAGGGCTTATGAGCTTATTTTTTTATGAAAAATTGTGGATTATTCCCACTTTGAAAAATTTTTTGAAAGATAATTATTGGCTTCAGAAAATGTTTTTTTGCTGAGCACTGAATGAACTTAATTGAACATTGCAAGGATCATGTGAAATACACAAGGTACTGACCAGTTTATGAATTGAAAGCAAAAATTCAACCTCAAAAAGGAGGTTATAATGACTGACTAGGAATTTTATTATTCAAAACTTAAGAATAATTTTTAAGGCCCCCACAGCAATATCAAAAAAATGATAACTGTAAGGTTTTCACAGGCTAATTTTTTTCAGAAGTAAATCACGAGGTCCTTCTTCCTAGTCTGTCTTAGTCTGGAAGCTCCACTGAAACCTGTCCACCATGGATGACCCTGCTTGTATTTGAAATACTGGTGGCATAGCTTCCAGAATCAGAGCAACACACAAGCCACCAGAGTATGTCAAACTGACAGACAAGTGGTGGCCAATTTGAGTCAGATAATCATACAGTCTACTATGCCAAGAATGACAAATTGAAGAGGAACAGTGTTGCATTCATTGTCACAAAGAACATTTCAAGATCTATACTGAAGTACAATGCTGTCAGTGATATGATAATATCTATATGCCTACAAGGAATACCAGTTAATATGACTATTACTCAAATTTACCCACCAACAACTAATGTCAAAGATGAAGAAATTGAAGATTTTTACCAACTTCTGCAGTCTGACTAAACATGCAACCAAGATGTATTGATAATTACTCATGATTGGAATGTGAAAGTTGAAAACAAAGAAGAAGGATCAGTAGTTAGAAAATATGGCCTTGGCGATAGAAATGACACTGGAGATCACGTGATAGAATTTTGCAAGACTAATGACTTATTCATTGCGAATACCTTTTTTCAATAACATAAATGGTGACTATACACGTGAACCTTGCTGGATGAAGTACACAGGAATCAAATTGAGTACCTCTGTGGAAAGAAATGATGGAGAAGCTCAATATCATTAGTTAGAACAAGGCCAGGGGCTGACTGCAGAATAGACAATAAATTGCACATATGAACGTTCAAGTTGAAGCTGAAGAAAATTAAAACACGCCCACGAGAGTCAAAGTACGACCTTGAGTATAGCTCACCTGAATTTAGAGACCGTCTCAAAAACAGATTTGAGGCATTGAACACTAATGACTGAAGACCAGACGAGTTGTGGGATGACATCAAGGACATCATATGTGAAGAAAGGAAAAGGTCCTTAAAAAGACAGAAAAGACCAAAATAGATGTCAGAAGAGATTCTGAAACTTGCTCCTGAATGTACAGTAGATAAAGTGAACGGCAGAAATGACGAAGTAAGAGATGAACAGAAGATTTCAAAGGGCGGCTTGAGAAGACAAACAAAAGGATTATAACAAAATGTACAAAGACGTGGAGTTAGAAAACCAAAAGGGAAGAATATGCTCAGTATTTCTCAAGTTGGAAGAACTGAGGAAAAAATTCAAACCTTGAATTGTAATACTGAAGGATTCTATGGGCAAAAAATCAAAAGACACAGCACAGGAAGCATCAAAGAAGATAGAAAGAATAAGAGTCACTGTACCAAAAAGAATTGATCGACGTTCAAACATTTCAGGAGGTAGCATATGATCAAGAACCAATGGTACTGAAGGAAGAAGTCCAAGCTGCACTGAAGGCATTGGCAAAAAAACAAGGCTCCAGGAATTGATGTTTCAACAAACAGATGCAATGTTGGAAGTGCTTACTTGTCTATGCCAAGAAATTTGGAAGACAGCTACCTGGCCAACTGACTAGAAGAGATCCAAATACAAACCCGTTCCAAAGAAAGGTGATCCAATGGAATGCAGAAATTATCAAACAATATCATTAATATAACATGCAAGTAAAATTATGCTGAAGATAATTCAAAAACAGTTGCCGCAGTACATCGAAAGGGAACTGCCAGAAATTCAAGCTGGATTCAGAAAGGACATTGAATGAAGGATATCGTTGTTGATGTCAGATGGACCTTGGCTGAAAGCAGAGAATATCAGAAAGATGTTTACCTGTGTTTTATTGACTATGCAAAGACATTTGACTGTGTGGATAATAACAAATTACAGATAACTTTGCAAAGAATGAGAATTCCAGAACACTTAATTGTGCTCATGTGGAACCTATACATAGACCAAGAGGTAGTCGTTTGAACAGAACAAAGAGATGCTGCATGGTTTAAAGTCAGGAAAGGTGTGCGCCAGGGTTGTATCCTTTCACCATTCTTATTCAGTCCGTATGCTGAGCAAATAATCCAAGAAGCTGGACTGTATGAAGAAGAATGTGGCATCAGTATTGGAGGAAGACTCATTAACAACCTGTAACATGCAGATGACACACAACGTTGCTTGCTGAAAGTGAAGAGGATTTGAAGCACTTACTGATGAAGATCTAAGACTACACCCTTCACTATGGATTACACCTGAACATAAAAAAAATAAAAATCCTCACAACTGGATCAATAAGCAACATCATGATAAACAGAGAAAAGATTGAAGTGATCAAGAATTTTATTTTACTTGGATCCACAATCAACATTCATGGAAACATCAGTCAAGAAATCAAACGACGTATTGCATTGGGCCAATCTGCTGCAAAAAACCTATTTAAAGTGTTAAAAAGCGAAGATGTCTCTTTGAGGACTAAGGTGTGCCTGACCCAAGACATGGTGTTTTCAATCGCCTCATATGCATGCAAAAGCTGGACAATGAATAAGTAAGATGGAAGAAGAATTGATGCCTTGGAATTATCGTGTTGGTGAAGAATATTGAATATACCAGGGACTGCCAGAACCAAAAAAACGAAACCTGTTGCCATCGAGTCTATCCCTACTGATAGCAACCCTATAGGACAGAATAGAACTGTCCCATAGGATTTTCAAGGAGTGGCTGGTGGATTCAAACTGCTGACCTTTTGATGAGCAGCCAAGCTCTTAACCACTGCACCACCAGGGCTCTGGACTGACACAAGGATTAAATCTGTCTTGGAAGAAGTACAGTCAGAATGTTCCTTAGAAGCAAGGATGTCGAGACTTTGTCTCACATACTTTGGACATATTACCAGGAGGGACCAGTCCCTAGAGAAGGATGTCATGTTTGGTAAAGTACAGAGTCATCGAAAAAGTGGAAGACCCTCAATGAGGTGGATTGACACAGTGACTACAACAATAGGCTCAAGCCTAACGATGATTGTGAGGATGGCAAAGGACCAGGCAGTGTTTTGTTCTGTTGTACATATGTTGCTATGAGTCAGAACCGACTCAACAGCACCTAACAACAACAGAGCATTATCTGTATATTCCTCAGGAAAAATCTTCAGTATTTTGAAATACATAATATGAAAAAGTTCAACTGGGTTTGAAATCCATCCAAATTAGTATAAAAAGTGTCACCATTACATTTGTCAATGAAAAGAAAAGTAATAGCTGTTAGATGGAAAGAACACTCACGTCCTTGGAAGATAATTTATAGACTGAATTATCTGAGTACTGTTTGATAGCAAGAAAAGAATGCTTATTAATTAAAGGAAAAGCAGAGAATGTTGTCCTGCCCTTTGCCACTGCCCACATGTGCAAGCAAAGCTTCTTGTCAATGGTGTATCAGGTATTTGAAGAGATCGTCATTTAAAACTTTGATCAAGAATTGCATGTTGCTATTTCAAGCATAGGAGCCCTGCTACCAAAGCAATTTTACAAATGTACTCAAACAGTTACCCTTCCTGGTCTTTTTTCCCTACTCTTCTGACTCCTACCCACCATCTCCTCACCCCTGTACAGACTGTGGTGATGCAATGATATGTTCCTGCACCCACCCAAAACCTCACCACAAAGCTTTCAAAGGGAACATGCCCAAGGGTGTGGCTGGGGCATGGCAAACAGCCTCGGTGGTCAGCTGTTGGCTTGTCAGCAATTTTTGACATTGTGCAGCAGCTGCAGAGCCCGTCCTTACCCCAATTTTCCTCTAGTGCTTTCCAAGTGACTGAGAGCTCTCCAGCTGGTGACCATGGAAGCTGCCAATGTCAGGGAGAGGGCCCACTGTTCGCCCCATTTTAGGGGCGAATCTGACTGGGAGGTGGGCCAGTGGGAAAAATAAAACTCTCTGTAAAACACTCACCTCCTCCTCACCCTGCCCTCCTCAAGCTCAAAGAACGTGGCTCAACCTTGATGTTCTTTAAGCTCCCCTGCAGGTTTCACATAATTTTTGCATGCTTGTTTCATTGCTCAGGGTGTAGGTGATGCTGATGATGCAACCTCTTTAGGGATACTCTAACATCCCTTATTGGGAATCTAACCTTCAGATGCACAGGCTGGGATTGACATATGACTTACATTCTGAGTCTTCACTCTTGAAATAGCCAATGAGTTTGATCTGGTCCTCAATGCGTTCAAAAGCTTGGACTTCCAGTTTGCTATTGATGATCTCCACTGGGTCTTCAATTAGCTGAAATGTCAGATACACACACACACAAATATCCAAATAAGAGAGCTATTCTTTTTCCAGCAGGGAAATCGGGCACATACATAGAATGCTTCAGAGGGACATTGTAGTGGACTTCATGGTTGTCACCTTAGCATCCATCCCACCTCTCCCCCAGTGAGCAGCATCAGCAGTGTCTTTTGAGGAACTGACCTTAACTCAAGAGATGGGCTGAGTGTGGGCAATTCTATTTCTCCTGCCAGTTATTCATTCAAGAATGGGCATGTGACCTGATTTTGATCAATAAGACTACAGGATAGATTTGCCAAAGGCTTTTGGAAAATTGTTTATTCTTAAGAGAGCAATGGGAAGCCACTACATATAAACAAGGGAGTATGATGTACCTGCTGCCGGCCATCTTGTAACTACTTGAGGACAAAGCCAACCTACTGAAAACAGCATTATCTCGGATTTACAGAGAAAAATGGAGGTAAAGCCCTGATCAAGTCTAAAATCTAACCTAACTCTGGTCTTTCCCTTATGTGGATCAATCACATTGCTTATTGTTTAAGGTAGTCAGTGTCTAGTTTCTGTTACTCGCATCTAAAGCCTCCTCTGAGATGACAAAAGTGGGACAGGACCATGTTGTCCCAGAGCTGTTCTGGTGCCCCCTCAGTTTTATTAGGACTTGGAGTATGGGTCAATGAGATAGCAAAGCAGGGTCTACGGGCATTTTTATGCAAGAGATGGCCGTCAACTCACTTCTGATCCTCTCCCTAGGTTTTGGAGGCTCTGGAGAAAAGCGACAGACCACTGGGTACCAGCTGGTCAATAGGAATAATCAGTATGGATGTTCAACTGTAGGTTCTTTATCTGTGTAGGGATCTGAGTTCACAAGCATTTTGTTTCACAGCTGCTATTAAAAGTCTGAGTTTATCTATGGAGAAAGTATTTTTTTTTTATAGGGTTTGTTTCATTTCTCTGTTTGAGCATATGGATCTGAGGGTGTGTACCTCCATACCTGAGAGTGAGTGAGATACTGGGGGACTCTTTAGTCCTACTTTCTCTTTATTCTGCTCTGAGGGTAACTCAGAGTAACTTAGCTGATTGTTGTCTTCAAATCTCTTTCCCACACTCTCTTTAGCAGTACTGGAATAAAGCCAAGGAGATTTCAGTGGATGTCATTGTATAAGTGATAAGAGAATTAGCATATTACTACCACACAGTCCTGATTTGTGACCCTCTGGTCACTAATAAAATAGTTTCCAAGGTGATTTAAGGGCCAGCTTCCTAGTAGAAGTAAATAGCACTGTGATGTAGGAACTCCTCTGATTTTTTTTTTTTGTGAAGCCTGAGAAATCTGTCTTAGACCAGGTCAGGTTCTCCAGTTTCTCTGTTCTTACTTTGGGGTTTTCCTTTCCCCCTATATCTGAGCTCAAATAGCTCTGTGCAGGCCACTGTGCATATAAGCTTACGTCCAAGAGAAATTCCACCAAGACATCGGCTGCAAACTCGCCATCAAACTCAATTGTGCGATCACCCTTAAGAATATACAGGCTTCCTTCTTCATCAAAACCTGGAAGAAACAAACAAATTCCAGGACAAGGTTATCGTGATGTAGGAGGAGCCATCCTGTTGTCCGAGGTATGGCTCTGGGTCTTCGGTGACAGTGGGTCAGGATCAGTGGAACTAGCATTAACCTAAGGGCCAGTTCCCTGGAAACAACACCACTGAAGAGCTCTCAGATTGGGAATTGAACTTGAAACAGTCAAGAACCAACCTGAATTTGAATTTAAAAGAAAAATCTCTTCTCCATACCACCACTGCTTTGATTTTCCAAAAACACTAGTAACCCCATGTCACTCTCCTTATTAAAAAGGTTTAATGATTCCACTGCGCACCTGACTCCTAAACCTGACAGTCAAGCCCCTCCACATTCTAGTGCCAACCTTATCTCTTACATCCTCTCGTGGGTAGACCTGCTCTCTCCTTTGAAAAATGCCCCCTTAATCCCTTATGCCACTCCATTTGCTTCTTGCACACATGCTGATATGTAAGGGTGAGAAAAGGAAATGTGACAGAGCATGATTCTCTATACTTATATTCTCCCTGTTCCCAAACCTGGAGAGACCTCCATCCTCCACAAGCCCATCTCGATCAGCTCCTTCAGACTTCGTCTAGGACTCATGTTACTAATAAGGCCACTCCAATATCACTTTTGATACTCCCCAGCTCCATTTACAAGTGTCCACTATAACAGAAAGAAGGAAGTGGTGGTTCCATGGTAGCATTCTCGCCTTCCATGTAGAAGACCTAGGTTTGATTCCCAGCCAATGCACCTGAAGCACAGCCACCACCCTTCTGTCAGTAGAGGCTT